ATAGTTTAGTAGTACAGCTATTATTTTATTTATAGTCAGAGAACAAAATGAATTTGGAAGCAGTTGAGGCAACAAAGGAATAGGAGGAAATGTATCTTCCTATGGTTCGATTAAAAAGAAACAAAAAACCTAACATGGAGGATGAAAATCAATTTTACTATCAACACCAAACTAACATTTTTTCCATACCTCTTTGGGCACTGCAATATTTCATGAAGAAGTAAAGATGAGTGTTTTGTAAGTATCCCTCTTTTAGTCTTTTAAATATTCTTATAAGTGCAAACTTACCAGCCAAACCAAAAAGAGTCAGAGTCCCTGGAATGCATTTTCTTTAGCACAAGTCAGATTTTAAAACCTTCCGTCAGCTCATTAACACAAGGGCCGTCTTACACTGTTGTAGTAAGTAAGAGGAACTTTGAGCCAGCATTTAAATGGTTAAACTCATTGTGAAGTACCTTTGTCTTCCATAACAGAAAATGAGACTAGCACTTTTTTGTGAGTTGATTTCAGCGCAACAACTTGTGGAAAAAGCTGTTGCTCAAAATTTTTGGAATCTAGCTGTCAATTCTCATGTGAGCAGTAATTTGGTATACCAATGCCTGCATCTCCTTAATTTCCATTAAAAAATCTCCAGGGTACATGTAGCGTTCTTTAAAAAGTATATTTCATGGAGAAAGCAATTGGTTGAATTTGGAACCATTTTCCCCACTTTCTTGAAGGCTAGAACGTAAAATTTCTCTCCTACAGTGCTTTACTGGCCCTGTGTGTTTTGAGTCTCGGTACAAAAATTTGATCAGTTTTGATTTGCTCCTTGTCCTCAGTTCAACTGCTGTTTTTTATGCAGAAAATATCAGATGTATTTCACAGTGGTGTGAAATACAAAGAAGGATAACTCATACTGAAACTTCTGCACAGCACTTCCGTGATAAGGTAGATTGACTATATGTCGAAGTTCTCCAGTTTATGCAGAAGTCATTTGCTTTTTGAGACCATGAAATACTATTTGAATACTTGAAAATATTAGTATAAAGTTAGTCATTAGATAGTGATTTTGATTTGTATCATTTCAGATTATCAAAATAGTATGAATATGCAAAGTAAAAGGGTCAAACTTAAAAATAGTTACAAAGGTCTAAATTCGACAATCCTTACTTTACCATAATTTTCAGATACCAATTCACCTTTGCCCCTTGTAATGTTTTACGTTGGCATAAATGACAAGTGCAGAACACTATGCAATCGAGAATGCTAGGTACTGGTGTAGATAACTACACAAGAGGTACATATGGAAAGTTAAATGGGCTTTGTGGTCATTTTGCTTTAGTTAGGATTGAAGTATTTAGGCTTTGTGTACACATAACCTTCCTTCCTCTGTTGCCAGAACTGCTTGTGGCAGACATCAGCTGACACTACAGTGCCACAAGTCCAAGTGTATCCATGTGTTTATGGCATCTTGTTTGTGGTTGTGCTCCACAGCTGTGCTACAAGTGTGCAAACTGCACCTTAAGAAAGCACTTGCTGCTGAAGGAACTAGGGCAGAAACCTTTTGCCAGACTCTGGACAGAGGCAAAAACCTTTAGTTCACTCGGCGCAAGTGATATAACTGTCAGGAGAAAGGAGGGTTTGTCCACAGCAAGAAAGGTTTAGGTGTGAACACCCTTAAAGTTTTGCCAGCAGCACTGGAGTTTTGCCAGCAGAACTTTATAGTGTAGGCTAGGCCTTAATTACACAATTGTTAAATAATGGTTTGACTTTGCCTTTGCCTTTGCCTTTGTAGGAGCAAAAGAATTTTTAAAGTATCATCATAATAGTCTACAAACAGAATGATGTCAGGAAAGGGAAGGGAGTGAGTCTGAAGTGATTATTTCCCTTTTTGGGTGAGGGGGAAGAAAAACAAGGATTTGTTTTTCAAAAATAGCTTGAATGCCTATCAAAAAAATCAAAGGTCTGCCCAAGACAAGCAGCCCATCAGACTACCATGGGTCTTATTATAACCCATCTCTTCTTATAACGAACAACACACAAGGAAATGATGCATCTAGCATCACATCCTGCCACCTTTTATCTCCCACAGCCTGAATGACCAGGTATCCACATACAGCAGGAAGCAGCCTTCAACACTGGTCCAGGGTGAAGCTTCAAAATTATACCATCTGGAGTCAGGAATGGATGTCTTAAGCAGTCTGTCACCACATCCCTTGAATGCCTGCTATGCTCAAATTTCAGTTTCTGAGACTGCTGACAGGCATTCCATTAAAGGTGTGATGGGATCTCATCTGCAATCCCAACAGTCATGCTTACTGCCATGCCACACGTACATGGCAGGAGGTGCAATTTGTAGGATCAGGGATCAGATCCCAATAGTGTCTTGTTGCTTTTGCAGGGGGAGCCTGGTATCATGATCATTCAGCTGATTGGTGCTCCTAGCTTTGGCAGTCCACTGGAGCCTTTTGCTTTAGTGTGCGTCTGCGGTTGGGAGTGCTACTCAGATGATCAGCAAGTGCATATAACAACTTTGTAATTGATTCCCATTGTACCTGAAATTGAACACGTGACCAGTGCTGATCAGCTTATCAGTGCTCCAATACCCAGGAGTATGCCAGAGCCCTTCAAAATATAGGTGCGCGCTTGAGGCTGGAGGTGTCTGTCAGCTGACTTGTACTCCCAAACACAGGAACACACTAGAGTGAAGTGACTGGTGCTCCCAGCTGTGGTAGCACATGGGAGCCCTTCAAGGCTCTGATGTACTCCTAGGAGTCTTGAAGGGTTCCTGTGCACTCCTGAGACTGGGAGCACTGTTTGGTGCTGACCATGTTTAGCTTAAGGTGCAATGAGAACCAGCCGCAAAGTTATTACACATATTTTGAATAATAGTTTTATGGCTTATTCCCTGTTTTATGACTCCATTAATTGCCTGAATGTCTGGCTTGGTTACTACTTAAGATGTGATTAACTGGTTAATCACATCTGAAGTATAATGTCTGCTGGAGGCCTAAGTGAAAAACTTTTCTGTTCTCAAAAGTCAAAAGAGAAGTTACAAGAATATCAAGGTTTTTATTTTGCCTGTAAGGAAAGAATAATAACCAAGGAAGCGCCTAAATCCCAGCAGAGAATGGGGAACGGTAAAGTTATTGCAAAGAGGGTCATGGCAGGTGAGTAGGAACAACTTCTATTGGATACGTGAAAATCAGGAAACAGGTGGAATCGTGAATTTATCAGGATTAGTATGCTAGAATCTAGAAATTTCCATAAGGCATTCAAAGCATCCAGTGACATAGACATAGTCATGAAAAAACTTGAGTGGATTATTTTGTTATTCAGGACTCACCTTTTAAAGTATGAATTTCAGTAGATATTTGTTTCTTATGTTTATTATAGCAAATGTAAAACTTGGTCAATAATGTAAATGTGTGACCAGAACTACTGACTGCCCTACATGCCTGAAGTTTAATGAGGTGGCAGGAAACAAATGATTGAATGGACTGAAGTAAAGAAATAGTTGTTTAAGTAAAATGTAAACCTTATGAAGACATAAATAGTTAGAAAAGGAGGGATTCATGCAATTCTTAAAAGGTGCTGAATATTAGAGTAGTCAGGATAAAATTAGCCACCAAGTCAGTCTTTGTTTGTTGATGTGGAAGAATAAAACATGATTAAATGACAGTTCTGCAATGAAGATGTATTTGATGTCATCAGTGTTAAAATGTATCAACATAGTAATTTAAATTCCTCTTCCAGGATTTTGGAAACTCTTTAATGTTAAAGTCTGTTCACATCCAGAAACATCAAATATCAGTTAGTAGCTTGTTGGTTATTCTATAAAAACCTGATTTAAAAATAAGAAACTTGCCACTTTTTTTAATGCTTACAATATGTTTGTTTCAATATAGTGCACAAGCGTATGGTTGAGTCAGGGAGAGATGACTTGTTTAAACTGATGTCAACAGGTAGTAGACATATAATGCAAGCCCTAACCCGAAGTAACTTTGTACTGTTAGTGTGGAATCAATTATAAAGATCAAGGGTGAAACTCTACCAATGCTGGATCAGTCTGTCCACATGTGTGTTGCAGTGGGCATTTGCTAAAAGCAAGCCAGCCTGTGCTTGGCAAGCATAGCAACTGGTTTCTCCATTCCTGCTCCTACTATCATTTATATGACTATAACACTAATGTAAATTACCAGATGGTATCTAATAATCTATTCATACCCTTAAAGAATCATAGAAATGTAGGTCTGGAATAGACTTTGAGGAATCAAGCCTTTGCTTTGACAACTGTATACGTGAAGGGCTGCTAAAAGTTGCTGGAAGTGAAGTGTGAGGAGGAAAATCTGAAGGATTTTAAGAATCAACATTGGTATTAATGAAAATTGTGTGTCAAACTTGTGGATTTGGGCTTGATTTTGATTTACAATTATTTCCCCCCTTATACCATTCTGCAAGCATAAAATAAGACCTTAGAGGGATTTAAAATAAAATATAAAGAAAGAAATGGACATTTTAAGGCTGAGGCCTTGATATCTGTCCAGAGTAATTTTTTTTGGTTGGTACCAGACACATTTTAAAGATGGACCTATAACCAAGATTGTTGTAGGGCCATAGGGGTAATAGCACAAAGCCACAGTATTGGGCCTGTATTTTTCCAATGTCTAGCTGAAGCACCTAAAAGATACTGAACACCCACTGCATTGAAAAAACAGGCACTCCGGTTAAAACATCTCATGTGGGGTGCCTAAAAACAGAAGCACCCCAAATCTGTATGCTAATCTTTACCCAGGATGCTATGTAATTTATAGCCTCTAATATTAGCATAATCGGTTCTACAATTATTTGAGTAGAACAATTTACATTGTAGAATGAGTTGCATCAAATTTAAACCAAATGATAGAGTTGACTTAGATCAGGCCACACTATATATTATTACAAGCAATGGGATGTTAGGTCTATAAATTTTGTAGTTGATTTCTTGACAGTTCTGACCACTATATTCTCTCCTCTAGGTGAACGCCCCTTCCACTGTAACCAGTGTGGAGCTTCTTTTACACAGAAGGGGAACCTGCTGAGGCATATCAAGTTACACTCTGGGGAGAAACCTTTCAAATGTCCCTTCTGCAGCTATGCCTGCCGCAGAAGGGATGCCCTCACAGGACACCTCAGGACACACTCTGGTGAGTCTTCATTGTCCCCTCTCCTTCATTGTTTCTTTCTTTGTCACTGTTAAAGGAGAATAAGCCATGAAATGGCAAACATGGTTTGGTTGCTTTAGCAGTCCCTCAGGTAACTCTCCCTGCACTTGACGCAAGCCTAGATTTAAATCAGAAATTTGTGGCTCAGCCCATGAATGAGCTCCTTCATTAATGGTGGTATGTATCCCTTTGAATGTCTCATTGGGTGCATCCCTAATACAATGTCAGATTGTTTTGACGTCCTAGGCCCAGAGCAGCTGGAAATTCCGCAGATTGATCAAGAAAAATTAGGTATTGAACCCTGTACTCTACAAGCCATAGTTGGTGTCGTCAGCAATACAGTATGATCTCTAGCATGGCACATTGATGGGTCTTGAGTTGGCTCAAGGATTTGACTCTTAAGTTACAGATCCATCTGCAGAAATTGCAGGTCTTCCTGCAGGAGAGAGTGGGCTTTAGGCTGGGATCCCTCTCCTTTTTTCCTTCCTCCACACTTCTCTGCTTCGAGGGCAGGGCACTTTTCCTTGCAACAGGCTGCTGCTTGGTTGAAATTCTAGTGCCATTGGAGTTCATTAGCAACCAGCTCCTCCCAGCTCTTGATAGCGGAATCCATTTTCCTTAGGTATGCCTTCAGTGTGTCCTTGTAGTGTTTCTTCTGGTCGTCACAAGCACTCAGCCCACAACTAACCTGGGAGTAGAACACTTGTTTTTAGATTCGATCTACACAAAAGGTTTGATCCAATAAAGTTGGTGCTTGAGGGTCACGGACTCAATTTTGGTGAAGCTGGCTTCAGCAAGAATGCTGGCATGTGTGTGGTAAT